ATATAGTGGCATCTGAATTTAAGCGCATTAACTCATATTGAATCATCTTTAGAGCCGTATGTGGGGTGGGTCGGTCGATATAATAATTTATAATTTTCCTACTTAATAGTGCAAATAATTTTCGTACTTCATTTTTAGTGCAAATTTAGAGTGAATAAACTCTCCATCGCTGTTTTTTCATAATGATCCATCAGAGGAAATAATATAAAACTACTAACAATTAAAACTCTTCTAGCAAACTCAAAATCGGTTATTGTGAAGCGCTAAGTGACGACACTTTCGATAGCAATGAGCCTCTGCTTTTTCAACTCCAAAATAGCTCCTTAAGACAGTTGGAACAACTTGAATGAAACAAAAAACACCAAAAATGACAAATATTTTGAAAAACTTCTACCTTTGAGTTCCAAAATACAAACTGAATTTTTGAGCTCTTCAGATTTCTCGAATCTTTTATAAATTGGTTTTTCTGAGGTAAAACTGACCCCTGTCTAGAAAAATAGAATTAAAAAAATATGCTGAATAAATTTTTTATTTGAATCTAGTTTTTAAGATTAGAACAGAAGACCGTAAATTGCCTTAAACTCTACACAGAGGCAGAGCGGAACTAAAAAAGGCATGTCAAGTAAGTCGACAGAAAAACTAAACAAAAAGTCGCTGAGCCGTAAAATTTATCAGAAAAATCAAAAAAACAGATCACTAAAACTTTTCTTCTGAAAGTAACAAAGAGATATACCGCAGGGGCAGATTTAGGGAGTGCGCGGATGACACCCCCCTCAGGGATTTGACCCCCAGCTGACCTAAAAGGTCCCCCTTTGGTACTTTTTAAGAAATCCAGAACCCTAAAATTTTTCTAAAGGCGCCAAACTATACTAACTTTGAGGAGAGCGCGCGCCAAAAAACGCGCTCCCCCTCCACCGCGTTTTGGAAAAAAAAAATTCCAAAAATTTTCCAAAAAGTGCCAAAACAGCAGTGCTTTAGGAGAGCTCCGAAAATCAATTTGGTCGACCTAAAAAAAAGTAGTCAAAATTTTTCAAAATCCGCAATTTTTCAGAATCCATTTATTCGGGCGATAACCCTATAACTTGTTCTTCGATTGAATTCTCAGTCTCAGATTTGGTACCATTGTTCTAGAAAAAAAAACAAAAAAACTTCCAAAACAAACAAAACGTAAAAAATGGTCTTTTGATCAGTCCATCAATGTTTTTTCTCAAAAAATAAGAGCGTAACCAATCTGTAGAGAAAACTAATAGCATAAGTTTTTTTTCGATCAAGCATGATCGACAAAACGTGTCTTCAAAAATGATTGAGAATAAAAAAAAGAAAAAAGATAAACCAAATTTTTTTAACGTTTAGCACAACAATTTCATTTTTTTTACAGAATTTTTTTGCCATACAAGCGCTAAATGAATTATCCACAACTATTTTTTTCTATGGTAAAACCATTTTTTTAAAATCCTGGAACAGTAAATTTCAATATAACGAATGCTACTCGATCGCGTTAATAAAAACCAGGTTTTATCAAATTGGACAATTTTCAAAAAAAAACTTTTATGTCGTTCAGTGAGGTATCAAACTAAACGGTTCGACCATAATTCGAGCTTCAAAAAGTTCAGTTAGTCGTTGTCGATAAAAACAGTCTTAATAAATTTTGCACTTCATTTTTAGTATTAAATTAGAGTGAATTAACTCTATATCGCTGTTTTTCCATAAAGATGCATCAGAGGAAATAATACAAAATAAATGTTCTAAGGAATTAGAACTTTTCCTAGCGAACTCAAAATCGGTTATTGTGAACTGATAAGTGACGACACATTCGATAGAAGTGAGTCTCTGCTTTTTCAACTCCGACATAGCTCCTTCAGACAGTTGGAACAACGTGAATGAAACAAAGAACACAAAATAATAACAAATATTTTGAAAAACTTCGACCTTTGAGAGAAACTTCGAGAATTTTTGAGCTCTTCCGATTTCTAGAAAATTTTATATATTGGTTTTTCTGAAGTAAAACGGACCCCAGTCCAGAAAAATAGAATAAAGAAAATTTTGCTGAATAAATTGTTTTATTTAAATCTAATTTTAAACTAAGCTTTCTAATTGCACATTAGTTATTGAAGACCGTAAATTGCCTTCAACTGCACACAGAGGCAGAGCGGAACTATAAAATACCATGTCAGGTCAGTCGACAGAAAAACTAGACAAAAAGTTGCTGAGCCGAAAAATTTAACAAAATGAAAAACAAAAAAAAACAGATCACTAAAACTTAGCTTCGGAAAGTGTCAAAAAAATAGGTATACCTGTTTTTAATTAAAATTAATAGTGAGGAAAAACATGCTCAAAAGTATAGTCGTCAGCTGCAAATTGATTGATATCTATTGGCCAGATATGTCTGTCGGCAAATAACATTCAAGTGATTTTGTTAAACAAGTTGTTAACCTGATAAAATGTATTTCCCGAATTGATATCTCGATAACTATGAATATTGCATCTAAATCAACATCAAATAAGAGCATGGTGTTCAAGTTTGCATTGAAAAAGTCAACCTATTTTAAACGATACAATTGGACAAAAATTAATATTCAAAAATCGTATCAGATTTGTAAACATCAAAATGCGACAACTTACATCAACCAGTATCAATTAAAGGCTTTCTTCAAATCTCCAGAAATTCCGAAACTGTACAAAACATACCTTCAATCAACTCTTCAGTAGGAAGTTTTAGTTTATGACACTGCCAGTAAAACGGATAAAAACATGAATGGTCTCAGAACAAATTCATCAGAATTTTCATTAAAAAATTAATATTATGCCTAAAAATTAGAAGAATGTACTAACTTTACTGAAAAAAATAGCATATTAATAACCTATTTAAAATTTAATGTTTAATTATAGAACACAAAAAAACAAGCTATAGGACAATTGTTTTTTCATTTTCCTCAAATTAATGTCATTTTTAGTGAGTGAACTGATTCGGGAACTAAACGATAGCGTGTAAAATTAGCAAACTAGGCATGATGGCGTGATCAAAAAAGACTAAAAACCAAAAAAAAACTAAAGAAAAAAACGTTAAACAAAATTTTTTCCAACGTTTAGAATGATAATTGGGAGAATCCATTCAAGCAGGGAATAACCCTATAACTTGTTCTTCGATTGAATTTTCAATCTCACATTTGGTACCACTGTTCTCGAAAAAAAACCAGAAATTTTCAATCTCACATTTGGTACCACTGTTCTCGAAAAAAAAATCCAAAACAAACAAAAACTAAGAAATGGTCTTTTGATCAGTCCTACAATGCTTTTCTTCAAAACGATTGGAGGGTAACCGATATATAGAGAAAACTAATAGCACATAAGTAAAATTTGGCTGTTTAGTTTTAGAGAAACGTCAGAAGATTCCAAAAAACGGTTAAAACTTCAAACTGAGACAAACTCTATATCTCTTAAAATGATATGCAGTCATTTATACAAGAAAGGATTCCTGACAACGGTTCTGATTATTAAACCTTTGATCTCCAATTTTTGGCATGGTGGTTTTTGAGAAAGGAAAAAGCTTCCAAGAAAAGTCAAAGTTTCATATATTTTGACAGTTTCTGATGCCACAAAGCTTTGCCTGCAAAAACTAGGGCGTGGCAACTTATGCAGGGGAGATCTCAATTAACATTTTTTTGTCTCAGATTTTGGTAGGGTAATTTGAGAAACTGAAATGAGAAAATGAAAAATTTTCGGAGGCTGTCGGGTAAAGGAAAAACATAGCCAACTGACAGTTGAAAAAGAGTAATGAACGCAATGAAACTGAAACAAAAACAGACTAGTATTTTTTTTTTTGAAAAAACTTCAATTTTTGAATTCCCAAGAAAAAAATAGATGGCTTTAAAGTTCTTTGAAATTGTAGAACAATTCATGATGGACACCTTTTTGTTAAAATTAACCCAATTTGAGAAAATTGGATCAATAGGCAAAACTTTTATTTCACTGGGATATCTGATAAGTAATTTCCATTTCGAAATTAGAAGTCAATCACAATTTTCGTACCTTAACATTTTTGCTCTTCGATAGTGACTTCCTTTTAATAATGGACTTCCTTTTAACAATGGAAATGCACTGAAATTAAAAAGAAATCAAACCGCGAAAAATCAAAATTGAGCGCGAACAAATTTTAAGACTGTTTCCTGAAAAAAAAAATCGACTAGCAAAACATGCAACACACAGAGTAGCTAGCCTTAGCATCGGGCTTTCCACCACTTTTGAGAAAAAAACAAGTGCCACCATAGTAGCGCCAATAATTGCCACTTAGGCTGGAAAAAAGTGGCCTTGTAGTAACACACTACACTTTGCACGTGTAACTACTATAGTTACTGGAATGTGAACAAAGATCAACTTTTCCTGAAAAAAAAAACAAATGACCTTAAGATGTCAAATTCAACTTCATTTACTGAAAACAAACAAAAAAAATACTCAATAAGTATTCAATAAGTTTTATTGAATACTCACTCCGTTCATTGGCACTTTAAAGTAGCAGTTTTGAAATTTCCTGAAATCAACTCGCCTAACCCAAATCCTAGATCACCCTGTCTCATACAATCGTTTTCACACATCGGCTGACAACATGAGAGTATTTGAAGTAAGTTTTGCAGTTGGCATAGGAAAATTTGCATAGCTCAAGTTGTACAGCATAAAAGGCTGGCATGTTCTGAGATCAAGATTGGTGTTTACTTTTCTGAAAAAAAAAAATGTTTTATAGAAAGAAAATTGAATTGGTTCATGTCATTATCAAGCCATCTTCCAGTTCACAATATAACAAAACGCCTGAAACTGAAATTGCAATTCATTTAGTAACGCACGAAAATATTTCAGCTGAATTGTAATGCGAGCAGTCATGACCTCGATACTTCAGCCCTCAAAGGTAATGCAAAAATATTGAATTCCATACAAAAATAGTATTAATAAAAGAGGTATGACGTTCACATTAAAATTTAACCGTATTTAGCACTTTATTATCAGAGAATAGGCATTAGACTACAATAGCAGACCTCTTTAGATTTCACTGAAATTTAAGAAGATAAAAACTATCTGTTGTTCCAAATACGATGTTTAATTATCCCTACAAGGTCCTTTGGCATGGTCAGTGAAGTCGATTTGCGTAACAAGAGAAGTTCTAGCTAGAGAGACTACTTATGTAATCCAGCGCCAGATAGTGAATAATTATTAGTTATTCAATTCTGTTTTATCTACTAGCTTTTTATTTTCAGACAACTACTTCTCGGAAGCTAACAAGCTAAAACTGGGTACTTTCATTTCACCGAAAATCTCCTGGTCCACGAAAAAATAAAGAAGTAGTTATCAAATTGTCAAAATAAAAACTGCTGGCATTTCAAAATGAATGAATTAAACGTTACCTATTTTCATACTCCAGTCTTCGTTCTCATCTTATAATTGGAAAATATCAGTGGAAGAAAGCTCAAAATAGTTTCAAAATGATCACAACGGAAAACAAACAAATCACTCCGAGAAACCTAATAGATCGCACCAATAATTTTCCCCATACCATCATGACTTCGTTGAATGGGCATTTTCTCTTCATTTCAGTTTTGCTTCAAAAACATTTTTGAGACGTTTTGATTTTTCATTTCTTCGACGATATCGGACCAGTTACCATGTATTAGGCTCCATTAATGAATGGTCGTCATAAGGAAGGGAGTGGTAGCTGTTGATAGCGAGGGTTTGAGTGGGGCTAAATGTGTGGGGGGGACTGGTGTTGGTTATATGCTGTACTCATTGTGAGTATGGGGGTGTGCCCTCTGCCGGCTGCTGCAGTTTAGCGTTCTCTTTGTGGGACATTTGGCTGCGTATGGACTCTAAGGCCTTCTTAATCGTGTACTCCCTCCTCCAGTTGCGCAAACAATCCACCTTCTCATTCAGCACCTAGTTATAACCGAATCAAAGACCAATTATAACTATAACAGTTAAGACTTTTATCCGCAATAGACTAAAAAAAAACTTTTCAGCTCTTTGCAGAAAAAAGAAGTTGACTTCCTTTAGTAATTGAGAGACAAAAATTCCAAAACAGTTCAGAGAAGAAATATAATGAGCTAGTTCAATCATACCTTTCCTTTTGAGTCTACGCAAGATAGGTTGATTCTGGTATTGAATGAGATAGAGGGCGGCTCGTCCGGGTAATTCTGCGAGCACCTGATGTTCAGACTGTAGATACGCGAGTCAAACGTCGTCTACAGAAAAGTATGTCAATTATGATAACATTTTACCAAATGATAACAGTTAATATTTTAACTTTGAGGGGTCTCTAAATACATAAATGGCGTCTCTACATCAAGGGATCTATGAACAGCACAAAGTATCTCTGCCTACCTTTGGTGGTCCGAAGATGCTGCCGACCCATTCCCGCATGTCCATGTCCTCTGAGTCCGCCAGTCCCCATGAGATCATCGGATCTCCATATTTGATCGACTCTTCGTGTTCATCCAGAAGTTTGAAGCTACGAGGAACGTTGGTCGATTCTGCCATTCTGCTGCTTCTTTCTAATTATATTACCCATTGTTCCTAACTCCCACTATTGAATACATTCAGCTTCATGATTATATTAACTGTTTCACAAAAAAATTCAAGCCAGATACCAAGTAGTATGATACAGCTAGGAACCACGAATTTTTGAAATATGCTGGAAAAATTGAAACTCTCATTCAGGGGGCGGATTTAGGGAGGGGCGCGGACGCCACCCCCACTTCAGGGATTTTACCCTGCTGACCCGAAGGGTCCCCTCTTTGGTACTTTTTAAGAAATCCATTTTTGTTGAAGGACCCTAAAATTTTTCTAAGGGCGCCTTCGGCGCCAATATATACTAACTTTAAGGGGCATGCCAAAAGAAACGCGATTTTTTTTCTGAAAGTTTTCCGAAAAGTGCCCAAAATTTTCCGAAAAGTGCCCAAGTTTTCCGAAAAGCGGCGCGAAGATGCTGCCAAAATTTGGCCAAAACAGCGTCGTTTCAGTGCTTTTGGAGTGCTCCGAAAATCAATTTGGTCGACCTAAAAAAAGTCAAAATTTTCGAAAATTTTTTGAAAATCCGCCCCCCTCGAGAAAATCCTAGATCTCATCCTGCTCACATTGTTGTCTCAGGTTTATTTAACTTTACTTTAACTGTTGAAAAAAAATTAATTCTGTTGATATATTCCCACTTCTGAGCTAAAAAAAATCTAAAATCTAAAAATTACTTGATCAAGGGAGATTGTTTCCAAGGACGAACAGCCAGAGAATGACTCTTCCGTATTCTTAGTCGATGATGGCAGTTACAAGAGTTCAGAGCCACAAATTAGTAAAGTCTAAAGTTGGGTACAATTCTGGTACAAAAAAACCAGTAGTAGGAAGACAGGCAACGTTTTCTTGTGATATAGTGCACTAAATAGTTAAATTGAGAATCCAGCTCAAACTATCTGAAATTAAACTGAACATCATAAGCAACTAGATTATGAACTTCCTGAAAAATCGACAATAGACGGCTGGAGATAGCTTTTAAATAAAGAGAACAAAAGCATAGCCAACAGACGGTAGGCAAAGTACAAATGCGCTTAAGCGAGGGAAGAAAAGGTGAGTTTTTCAATAATACCAGAAGCGTGACTTTTTTTCAATGTACCCGATGATTGAAAATTGAGTTTTGTTTTCAATTCTGATTAATGTTGCATTTTTGTTCATTCTTTAAAATTCAGCCACAACGTTTTCCCTCAAAATATGCATAACTGATCAACGTAAGACGTTTAATCAAGACCGGATTAACCCACGCGCTACCCCAGCGGAAAAAGAACAACAACTTACGACCCGTACGGGTCATTAATCATCATAGGAGTCCTTATGTGTAGATTCATGACAGCCTACGTAAACGTTCTTTTCGACTATCGAGCAAAGTAATAGAATATATAAGCCTGGGGTGGATTTTTATTCAGATCAACTTCCAAGATCAAAACAATATTCAGATCAACTTCAGTGATAAAAACAATCAATAAAAAAATTCCCGGTGAAGATACCGACCGCCTCCCTGAGTTCAACTGTATTAAGATATTTTCCTGCGATCATTTTGGTGAAATTATGGGGTTAAAAAATTGCAAGTTTGGCTATGTTCTGAAGTAATTTATTTGCCCTTTTCAGCAGTTATCTATGATAATGGAAAAAATAGGCACAAAATATTTAAGCGAAACGAATTCTGCCGCTGCGAGGCAAACTAATTTATTCAATTACCAATACGACTGAAATTCATGGCATTCAACATTTTTTAGCCTCTGAGGAGGAAAAACAAACTGAGTTCGAGTTTTATAGCTTCTCAAAATTTTCTTTGCCAAAAATTATTCCAGGCCACTTATTCCAGACCAGAGTTTTGTTCTCAGGCTTTTCTTACTTCCAAATTAATTATGTCACAATAATTGTTCATTTGTTCTATTTTTATCATTTTCTGTCGCTATTTCAGCTTCCCCTCTGTTTCCGTGCTGATTTGTATATTAGTTCAACTGATATGCAAAAGTTAAATCAAATCGGAGAAAATTTTTTTTCTGAGAAAACAAAAAAATTACACCAACTTCCTGAAAATTGATATATTGGCATGAAAGTAATTTGAGGACTAATCATATACATGTACACAGAGACGAAGCTGCGGTTTGCAAACACTAGCGAGAATACGACAAAAAGCAGCTAAAGCGCAAAAGGAAAAAGTAGAAATAAGCCTCGAATAAGTATAAATTCGACTGCCACTCGGATTCGAACCTACGACCTACTGCAACCTCGAGATTATGAGTCTCACGCACTAAACACTCCGCCACGTTCGCATAACTAATGACAAACACAGAAAGCAGAAAACAGATGCTATGTAATTTCCAGTACTACAGTGAAATTTCCATATAAATGAACACATACAATGAACACTAATATTTGCGAGTTGGGCAAGAAAAAAAAAGTTCGTACTGATACACTGACGCTCGCATGCTCACCAGCATGAAAACAAACGCCAGACAGGTTGAAAATAGTCGAAGAGCTCAAGGAAAACTGAAAACTTATATCTATATAAAAAGTAAAACCAAGTCGAGTTAAACGTCTATTTTCAAAACAATCACAGGAAAAATCGAGACCGCTTATTGCTAAACAGAGACGATAGGACCACACCCTTTCTGACTTCTCTTGAATCAGTCGTCGAAAGATTCTATGCTATTTGCACAGCAACCAGCTATTCTTACTCAAATGTGATCCAAATGTTTCAGACAAAACTTAAAGACTTTACTAGCACCGCGTCTCCTAACTATGTCATATCACATAATTTTATACAATTAGTGAAATCTGCGCGTACGAGGTTTTGAAATTACCGGGAAAAGTTTTAATCGAGAAAGCCAAACTGAAAACTTGCAAGAAGCTGCAATTAAACAAGAGTTAAACACAATATAAACAAAAAGAAAACAAAAACAGAAGTTAGCAATACAAGGAATTAAGTTCTCCATAGAATCCATAAAATTCAGAAAACAATAATATTGTTGCGTTGTGAATTATTTCCCCGCCTGGGTCAATTTCTTGAACGAGGCTTCTCTAATTCAGTTAAATAGTTTCAGTCATAAATTTCTGGGCAACTATATCTTGGGGAATACTTTATAATGGGACATGCTTTGAAAAAGCTTTTCCGCTGAATTGAACAGTTAGCTTCAGATAATCTCTTGCTAATGGGAAGAAAGATCTACCCGAGATACAAAAAAAGAAAGATAGAAGAGAGGGGAGGAAGTTGGTCTAAATTTAACAAATTTCGACTTATCAAAAGATCCATGGGACCTATGAATTTAAAACTTGTTATTGTTCTCCGACTAATGAGACGAACGATTAGTTGGCCATAGCAGTTGATATTTAATCGCTCTAACAACCAAAAACTGAAAAAATGTCTAAAGCAAAATTCAATTAAAATCCAGTAAAAACAAATAACCATTTAATAAGCAAATCCTACAGAATGTTCCGATCATAGTCCTTAAAATAGGAAACAAAGTTTTTTTCAAATAAGCGTGTTTTTTTTCTGTGTGGTGTGATTAAAACCTCAAAAAAAATTAGAACATAGGCAATTTCGCAATTCATGGTCACATAAGCAAATTGGAGATAAGTTTTTGAGCGAAAAAAAGAAGAAAAACAAAAACAATGCAGAATTTTTGATCCTCAAAATGGCGCCAAACACACCCAGAAAAAAATTTAATCGACTAAAACTAAATTTTTACGACCTAAATTAAGCATAACACAGAGGCGAAGCTGAGCTTCTCACCACTTGCGATGCAAATATGAATATTATGAGAATCGAACGAAAAAAATCGAAAAATCATTTTTGTCAATAAAATTTGCAACAAAAGCCCAAAATATCCAAAACAAAAAAGCCTGCACCAGTAAAAGATCTAAAAAGAGCTTTGTGAATGCTATCCAGAAGCCAGGTTTTCAAAAAAGTCCTTTCTGCTACACTAAGCAGACTAAAATAATCAGAAAGACAATGATCAAAATTAGCCAAAATTTTCTTTTTGCAAGAAAAACAAGTCTCAACTAGAATCAAACTCCCGGGCTTAATCGTCTCAAGAATACTCTAATTTGCAAAAAAAAGTTCCAGCCGGATTCGCACCGCAAATCTTTGCCATCTCAAGCAGTTGCTTTACCTCTAAGCCAGATAGTTGCTTGAATTTAAATTGTAATTACCAAGCGGTAACAACAAAGCCGAGAAAACCTCCACAGAAACCCATCAAGCCGGAAAATCTGAAAAATTCGAAACATAAAAAAAAGCCAAGTTCGCTTTCCTCTCAGAGAACACACACACGCGTTAAAAAAATTTTCGGGCGTGACGACGCAAAAGAGACCACTAAGTCGATATTAATTAGGCCGATAAAAAAGACGAAAAAAAAGAAAGAAAAAAGTTAAATTTTAACAAATCGAGCTGTTTAAATTACAACCAATGTGAAAAGCAAACCTTGATTGGGTCAGTTTTTTAAGATGCTAATAACAACTGTAGTTAAAATTGTTTGCAGCTACAATAAACTATTCTCAGATGTGGCAACTAAGACGACAAAAAAAAGCAGACAAATAATCGGCCGAAATTTTTTTGAGCCGTTTGAAAACAATTTCCGTTCGATCAATTACCCTTTGAAATTAAAACTGGTCCTGGTTAGATGCGAACTCAAGACCTTTGCCGTCCCAGGCGTATTCGTTGCCACCAGGCTAAGCGTGCAAGAGACACTACAATATTTGAATCCTTTATGAACCAAGGTACCATCAGTTCAATGAGACAAAGTTCTATACGGGAAAAAAGTATAGTACCCAATAATATGCTATTGCAAGCCTGCTCGCTCGCTTTACACGCTTGAAATTAAATGAAAAATCAGAACTTTCAAACCGATTTTTATCGAAAGTGGGGAAATACTTTGCAAATTGTTGAATGTCGTTCGAATCACGACTGAAAGATCTTTAATATTAAATATTTCTCAAATCACTTCGACGTACATTTTAGGTAGCTGATTCTTCGTAGAAAACAAAAAAAAAAGAAAAACTAAACAACAGTCTTCTCCCAATTCTGGTTGCCAAATCTTTCGAAATAGTCCTCTTTAGGAATAACTTTACTGTATCCATTTTTGGCAAACCAACCTCAAAAACTTTCTAAAGGCACCTTAAGGCTAATATAACTAATTTAAGGGGAGAGCCAAAAAGTGCCTCAAACGATTTTGTTGGCCTGTTTTTGTAAAAAAAAAATTGCCAGCGACGCAGAAACTTTTCAACAGAATAGGGTCCTTACCCCCTAAAAACCGCCCCTACCCCCTAAAAAATTCTGCGCACGTCACTACCCGAATACAAAGTTCATACAGACTTCCATTGATCGGAACAATTATATTGGTTCTGTTGCATAAACCTACACAAGTTCATAATGTCACAATTTTCTTAATTTTTATAAATTTAGGACGACATTTCGTAGTTTAACGCAGCCTGCGTCAATGAAGACTTTCTGCACCTTCTTTTTGCAGTTGGCTGCCGGTCACCTATATCGTCAACTGCTACTCCAAATTCACTTCTTGTTTCGGGACAGTTTCACTCGAATAACGTCTTTTGCTGACGTTACACAATCAACACTCTCTGTTAGAAATCATCTCTTTGTTTTATATTTCTGTTCTTGTTTCCTCCAAATTTTCTCTTCTTAAACAAACTTGAAGCTTCCTTCTTAATTCCGTTTTCGCTTCCAAAATCATCTTCACTCGGAGAAATCTCAATTTTCTTCTCTGTAATTTGCAACTTTTCATCTCTTTCTTCGTCTTCAATGTGAAAACAAATGCGAATTATCAGTTTGTTCAGGCAGATCCAGCTTAATTGGGAACTTAGTCGAATCTGATTGGTTATCATTTGCAACCAATTGAAAAGATCCGTAGGCTAGTTCGCGTCCCTTCGCCCCTTCTCTTGCTTCCATTTTAACTGTACTACCGTTAACTTCCGCGCTACTGCGGTACCCCGTAACTGTTGAAACATCCCGAAAAGCACTACCTTTTTTCTCGGGTTCAGATTTTTCGCCGTCCTGAGATTTCGTTTCTGCGACAGCGACGTTGTCGTGTACCTTCATGATAACTGCGTCCTCCGGTTTGACCCAAGTTGTCTCGTTAGTTTCTACATGTATAAAATAAGGCTGACCCGAGTTGGTTTTAAACTCAAACCACTCGGGCTCCAATGAGTTTTCTGGTTCATCATTCGGTTCCATTTTTGGATGCTTGCTAAACTTCTTGCTACCGCTTTTCGAATCATGAGTTCGTTTTTGTTTCTGACCTTTCGCATCTGGATTCTGATTACTTTTTCCCGGACCAATAGAAACACTTTCGAAAAAGGCAGGCGCTGTAGATGATACATTTCCAAGGTCCTTTTCATAAGCTTTGTTTGCATTTTTCTCCATTTGTTGAAATAGTTTCTTGGCCTGAACTTCCTCCTTTTCCTTTTTCACACTGGCTTTATGGGACGATGAGATCTTCTTTTGGACCATCTCCTTGTGGCCTTTTCCATTCTCGTGGATGCTGATTGAAATTTTGTTGTCCGCGAGCCAGCATTTGCAGAAGTCGCAAAATTTACGCGGATTTGATTTCCAGAACTCGGACATTTCTACTACCTGAAAACAAGATATTCATTGTCAATCAAGTAACGAAGAATACAAATAAAGAGATTCAGTTGCTGTGCTCATGAAATTATTAAATAATTTCTAAAAAAAATATTTAGTCACTTTATTTGATTAAAACGGCTTTACTTTTATGATTTTGCAATCAACCTAGTCCGACGATTCCTAGCTTGGCCTAAAAAAACACTAACACAAAGTTTCTCCAAGACCATGTGAATTTTAGAGGTAATTAATTTCTCTTATCAGTTCTTAAATTCAATTCAATTCGTGAAAAAATTGAGACATCATTTATCTGAGAGTCATTGGTTCTTAACTTAGTTTCAAATCAACAAGCCAATTATTAAACTGAAGTTGGACTTTTTGAAGATGGGATTTCAATCTCGCTGTTAGCAGATTTCGATTCCGATTCTTTACTGCCTTTAGACTCTTTCGTGCTCCCTTTGCGCCGTTTTTCCTTCTTTCTCTTTCGCATTTGCTTTTTCAAGAGTGGTTCAGCCTCGCTGCGTTTTTGATTTTTCTCAAGTCTTTTCGGATCTTTTTAGGACTTTTTCATATTTCATACAGGGTGACAACTTTTTTAAGAGAAAAATAGTGACTATGACAATTTTTGAACTTTTTGTCGACCTTTTTTTTAGGTCGACCAAATTAATTTTTCAAGCTTTGCCAACAAAGCACTAAAAAGTGCCTGTTTTGGTTGAAGGCGCCTTTACAAAAACTTTAGGGTCCGTCACCAAAAACTGTTGTAAATAGTGACTTTTGGTGACCATTGAAAAAATAGTGACCAATAGTGACCAAGTGGTCACCCTGATTTCATATTCAGCCAAGCAAAAATCTTAAATTTATGTCTTCTTTGTCTGAATTTTAAAATCACAGTGAACTAAATTCATTTGTCTTTGAGGTTAAAAAAACTTTCGCTCCAGATGCAATCAGTTCCTTTGAGTGGTGGTTGTCAAACAAAACTCAACGGACGAACAGAATAGCAAAAAAGTCCTTTTAGGTGTCTGTAGATCGCAAGCAAAGCTATTAACAGAGCAACTAGTAAGACAGATCCAACAATAAGTAGCCAAGGAGACATCGCAAGAGTCTGGTTGTACTCATTTTCACTGAGATTCATTTGTCTCATTTCAGACTAGATCCTTGCAATTTATGATTCGGAAAACAAAAAGAATAAATTTGATTATTTAAAAACGATTAAAATTGACATGACATGTCGATGTGCGCCTAGAAGTGATAGCTATTATTTCAGTATTTTCTATTTTATCAGAACTGATAGACAAATTCCAATTTAATTATGCAGTGCAAATTTCTGAAAAAAAAATCTGGAATCTCAAATGAAACTTTTTCCGGTGCCACTGCTTTGTTCCAATTTGTCCTAATGACCGCTCACAAAAGTGGCCATCAAATCCCTTGGGACACACGCACGAGACTACAGATGGTACATAGGAGGCATTTTCCATGCGGATGTTGTTTCTGTTCACATGTGATTTGTATTTAGGACATTGACCTTCGTTTTCACAGTTGTCGTCTTTACAATCGAAAGACGAACTGATCCTGCGAATAGTATTCATTTCAGCTGTGATTTTTCAATTCCCCTCAATAAAACATTAACGCTTAAATCCCGCCTACATAGCCTGATGTTTTGCACTTTTATCGGTTCTCCCGCAACAAATGAAAAATGAACCTTGAAACCGGCCACTTTAATTTTGTCCTTTCATCTGCATGATTAACTGCTCCCAAAGCATGTGAACTGCCCCCCCCCCCCCAAGTACACAGACATTGCCACAACCACTGTTTGAAGGAAGAGACGACGCGAAAATCACCATGTCCAACTCCCAAATTAAGAGAAACGAAATTACCGACCAAAAATACGAAAAAAAGCTGCAATTGAAAAAATATCTCGGCGAAAATACCAATAATCGTTTAATATAGGAAAAAAATATGAAACAGATAGTTGAACTCAATTTTCAGGCCGTTTTCAGAACCCAATAGACCCTGCTATAATAGAATTCCGCTCCGACTTTTAACGTCAAAATCAGCAAAAAACATTTTGCACCAGCAAAAATCTAGGACAAGAGCCGGAAACTTTTAGATAACATCTTTTGATTCATCCTTTAATTATTTATACACGTTGTGTAAATACCCAATATTCAACATTTACACGTCAATCATAAATTTGAAAAAAAAATTTGAGATAATCGAATGAAATTTATGATAGGGCTGGGCGGTATTTTTTTTTATTTGCCCCCGGCCTGCTCAGTGCCACTGGTTTACAAATAGCAGACACCTTTTCTTATACCTTCTGCCATTGGGGGAACCGAAATCCGAACATTTAAGTTTCAATTATTTTCCCGTTACTCGCTTCACAAAGGAGCTGAAGCAACTTTTAGGTGAATTTGTTTTCGAACGAGAGTTAAAAACCTGGAATAGCTTGTTGGTTTTCATAGGGTTCTACTATTGGTAGATTTCCTCCAATCAGTCTTACATGCAGTTGGGTGTTGGCTTAGTCTGGTCTTGAGTCCATCCCACTTCACACTCGCACAAATATACACTAGGGCCAGAGGGTAGACAGAGACCATGGAAGCCACAGGGATTGTCCAAGCAAGGTGAAAGAGACACGCCACGCTGCTTTCATTCATTTAAATATTCCTTTTATTCATTTAAAAAATCTCTAAATTAAAAGTTAAACCACCTACTATTTCTAAGTTTCTGCGCAGTTTTCTACAAAATTTTTAATGTTTTTTTTATTACTGAGAAACAGTGTTGAACAATTCAAACGACTTTTTTTCTGTCTGATGAATTTCAGTCTTATAAACTTCAGCAGAGCTCTGAACATTCTATGATTAATTATAGACGAGGGCCCTCATTTTGAAACACCAACTGTTCGATGAAAATTTGCATCTCGTTTTATTAACAAAAAATCAATGCGGAGTTTCGCATCTTTTGCGATTCAGCGTAGGCGCACTGCAAGCTAGCGAATAGAAAATAAAAAGGAAATAATTGATCTTTGAACTGGAAAAAATCGAACTTTATTAGGAAAAATGATAAATTCAGAAAAACAGCCAATCAACACAACCGCTATCATAAAATAAACATTCAGTACTTCTGAAACAGCCACTAAGCCGACAAAAAAGAGGGTAGACGCCTATTGAGCCGAAACCAAAAAAAAAGCCATTAGAAGTTGCTGTCATAAAAAGTTTTGAACGGTTCAGTTTGAATTTTTATATCACTGAATTATTCAAAACAACAATAGGCAATTTCTGCGTTACGTTGAGACCAACAGTGAAGGAACCTAGTTTTTAAAGACCAAAAATAAAAAAAGTTCAACATGCGACACAGCTGCATTACAAGTTATTTAATAGACAAAGAGACATATTTTTCTGGGAAGACGATAACTTAATTTAAGAAATGTTATATGTTCAACTAAAGCGATTTCTACAGTCCGCCTGAGAAAAAATAAAGTATCCTTTAGCAAGCGGCAGCTAAGTCCACAAAACTTGTATCAACTCCCGTTTAGTGTGTCCAAGTGTAACTGAAAGTAAAACTAACTGTAACTGAAACTGGCTAACTGAAACTTTTTTCCCTAACTGAAACTGTAACTGAAACTGGAATTACCGCAATCGGCTAACTGCAACTGTAACGGAATTAAACATTATCTTCATTTCAGTTGCAGTTACAGTTGTTCCGGCTATATATACTCGACGTTGCTCCATTTGTGTCACTTTCCAGATCAACATGTCAACGACGGGAAGAAAGCGTAGCAGCTCTGTTCATCAGTTTTTCGTTGTTAACGAAACTAAAACCACCTATCTCAGTACGGACGCCGACTGCACGTTTACGAGCCTCGTTAAGCACGGTCCGACGAACTTGAAACTGCACATCAAGAAGAAACACCCAGTGTGGCATGGGCAAGTTGAAGCAATAGAGGCAGAGGAGAAAAGAACGAGAACTGAGGCCGCTACTGTGCAGACGCTTGACATATTCGTGAGCATTTCTGGGGCTCAAACATGTTCTGGGGCTCAAACATCCCAATCCCAACTTCCCAAAAACGACTATCGACAGCGGCATCTCAACGAACTGCTTGCAACATACGTCGCCGTGTGTCCCAGAGCAAGCGCGCACAAGATATCTGACAAAAAATACGGCTTCGATAACGTTATCAAGTATGTGAGTTGCGGCAAATTCTCTGTGCCGTGCAAGCAGACAATTTGCAACCTCTGTTTGAGATCGACTTGAACAAACACGTAGAATATGTGCACAAATTTTGGCGCGCTCGCTTGCTGACAGCTCCAGAACTATCCCACTTTGCTTTGGCGAACTTGTGTTTCAGTGGTGCTGGTGTGGGAGTTGAACGTTTATTCTCGGGTGCAGCTATACAAGCAGAAGGGCGCCTAAGAGTTCTCTCAAACAGCGCGCTTCGAGAACGCACCCTGATTGCCTCCAACCGTCAGTGGCTAGATTGAACTTTGTTAACCACTTTGTTCGATACGATAGCCACTTTGTTCCTTAAAATTTGTAATACAACTTTGCTCCTTGTTTTTTTTTCTAAACTGAAACGTCAAACTGAAACTGTAACTAAAACTGAATAGAAATCCAAAAAAACTGTAACTGTAACTGAAACGGAAAGGCAAAAAAAACTAAAAACTGTAACTGTAATCATAACTGAAATGGCAATAAAAATGATTCAGATACTCCCGTTGAGCCCAAAACAAAACTAATCTTATAAAATTCGAGCTTTATAATCGCTGTAACTTTCAAAACTGAAAAAATTTCAATTAACAGCCTTAGCATTAGCTGTACTTGAAAGCTGCATATTGATCAAAGTGAACACTTTCAAAATGCACACAATTTGTCGCAACAATATGTGCGCCGCAACAATATTTGCGACTTAGGTTGGAAAATAAAATAGTTCATACTATAACACAAGCTTTACTTGTGTAAGGATTATATTAAGAATTACTTCGAAAACACCGATTGGGTATACTCATAGGGGTTTGTTGGGTATAGCAGTTGAGTTATAATCGCTGTAACTATCAAAAACTGAAAAAAGTTCAAAAACTAACTTCAACCAAATTCCAATAAAATCAAGTATAGCCCCTTACTGTGTAAATCGTAGAATGTTCCGACGTCCTAAAATAGCAAAACTTAAATCGACTCCCGTTGAGCCCAAAACAAAACTAATCTAAAAAAAGTTTTGGAACTGAAATTTTAAGGCTCATCCCTATTGAAACATATAAAAGCATGAGCAATTAATTTCCATCCAAAATACGCAAAAAGAGATAGCTTAATCGAGAAAATAGGGTGATACCCTTTACAAAAAAAATCAAAATCAGAGTTGATAAAGTTAAATGTGAATTATTTACCCGCCTGGCTCAATTTCTACATAATTTGTTGAGCGACGCACGCCAATTATAAGTCTAGACACGTCAAAACACCTGCAAAATTAATGAAAATTGCGAGCACCAAAAACAAAACGAGTGGCAATAAGCCGACAAAACAAACAGACAATTCACAGGCCGATTATTGATTTTGAAACACAATGTTTCCCGTTTGAAAAAAACCAGGTCCTGATCAGATTTGACCTCAGGGCCTTTGGTTTTATTTACGTCACTGAAACTTGTAGATGAAATAGTACCTGGCATACAAAAGCTTGAACACGAAAATATCTGAAATTTTTTTTACTGCTGTACGAATTAGAAACGTATGCCCTATTAAAATTAATGCCTATAGCGCAAGCTCCACTTATTCCAAAAACGTGATTGTAAATTTATTAGTCCGATCGAAAAAAAAATGAAGATCGATGAATGAATGCAGTCAAAAATTCTGTACATTTTTCTCAATAATGATAACTTCTGCTATATTGCTTGACATCAGGCTCTTTCTTAAATCATGACACATTGCTTCAAACTTGCAAACTATAGATCAAAAATTGGAACTAATTTTGAGACTTAAACAAAATCCGTCAGTCCCAGATAATCTGCTTGACTATTAATGCAATGAAACCTGGGTTATCAACAAGTCTACTCCATTGCAAACCAGAAACAATGATGGCAGCTTATTTCAATTCAATTTTACTTGGTTGCCGTTGACACTAAGGCATTGATCACTTTCTGATTTGCTTGAATAAGCACTTAGTGAATTCACTTTTCTAGTACTCATTGAAAGCTAAAGCAGGCGCTCCATGATTAGCCAATGGGGTTCTTGTACTGGGTGCCGTAGACACATTATGACCTATCCCCATCTCTCCTCTTGGAGAAGCTTGTGGAGACAGTAACGACTTTTCCTCGTCAATAGTCGACTGCGACGAGCGCAATGTATCTGCACTTTCAGCTTTCTGCTTGTTGAACTTGAACGCTTTCGCCGACTTCGTTTTTCTGGCCGCATTTCTACGTTTCACACATTGTACCAGACATATCAACGAGCAGACTAGCAGAACACCCGAAACAGCGACAACAATACCAATGATAGTTGAAAGAGATACCGGACCCATTCGCGACCTCAATCGACCCCCAACCCATTTGGAGGAGCTTCCCGATTGACCTTCGCCAGCATGTTCACACCATCTGCCCATGTAGCCAGGGGTGCACTCGCAATTCGGGTTATCGGGGTCATTTGCGGGACACTTTCCCCCATGTTCGCATAGTGAATCATGACATGTTTTCTCGTCGTATTTTCTAAACACTGATACTAAGTAAAGAAACAGCCAATCATTAGAAAACACAACTCGGATTGCTTGCTGGTAGCAATCGCAACGAAAGCAGCCAAGGATTTCCAAGCAGCCAAAATTTCCAAGGCAATCGATTAACATGTAAGTTTTATTGGAAACCTAAGGTATGAAAAATAATAGGAAAATGCGTGATTTTCTAAATTCGATCAGCGATTGCAATTCAATCCAAAAAATTGAAGCATTTCGATTTGATTTCCTTCTATTATTGAGTTTCTTTGTAAATATGGATGAAAATATGGCTGAACTTAATCTAAGAAAATAACTTTGACTGAAATCATTACTCGAATGGAGCTTCTTAACTTAATCTTAAGGCGCCTATCACCATGCAGATTTTTTTTTAATTCAAAAAATTCTCGAAGATAAAAAATATTTCGGGCAATAAAAACTATATGTTACGTTCTCAATTTCGCCCAGTATATACTGGAGAAAAAAGTGACGCAACTAAAAAATTTTCAGATCTTTTACATTTTGCTTCAAAAAATTTCGAAAAGTAAATATTTATATTTGACTTGTAATGCTAACACGTTTTGCTCATAGTTGAAACCGTTTGGGTGAATTAAACAAGAAGCAACTGAAGCATCGTATTTTGAAACATCTTACTTCAGATGAGAAAAGTTTTCTTAACCCAATTAATCTCAACACAAAATATTTGTCATTTTTGAAATTTGAAGTCACTTTCTTTAGCATGTAATCAAAACGATTGAAAAAATGAAGAAAAATAATTTGAATCAGAACCTTAAAAAATGAGCTATTTTATCAGCAAAATCAGTTTTAGGTTTCAAGTCATTTTTCTGCTACCTCAAAAATAAATTGGGAATGAATAACTGAGGGCAAATATGACACATAGAAGAAGCGGAGCTTTGCATCACTTGCAATGCAAAATTGAATGACTATGATAACCAGCAAATAAAAAGGCAAAATAAAAATTGAAAAGAAAAAACTCAACAAAAAAATCGTTTTTATGTCAAAAAAATTATAGAAATTATAAAACGACAAACAGTTCCTGAAAAAAATTACCTGCACCAATAGAAGTTTTACAAAGAGCTTTCAAAATGCTGAAAAAAGTCGAAACTTTCTGCGGGACCTAAGCCGACTAAACTTAGCAGACACGAAAGTCCAAAAATAGTCTAAAAATTTCAGTTACCACAAAAAAACCCGGCTGGAATCGGACATCTGTCGTCTCAAGCATGGGTGTTACAACTGCGCCAAATCCACAGAACACTCGATGTGTTTAAACAGAAAACAACATCCTAAACTCTTTAATAAACAACATGAACAAAAGTCAAAAATTAGCAAAAAAAATTTCTTGAAAACCGGAATTCACTAAATGTTTTTAATTTGAATAAAAACTGCCTAAATTTTAGGCCAATTTGGTGCTGCGGCAAATAAGTCGATAAAAGAGCAGACAAACAGAAGTCCGGCAAAAACTTTTTGACGCGCGGAAAATTTTCTGTTTTAAAAAACAGGTCCTGGCCGCATTCGAATCATTGACCTTTGTCTTAAAAGGCAAGCGCGGTAGCTCTACGCCACATGAGCGAATGAACCTCAGACTTTTGATTTGATATGAACCAAAGGTAAATTGATTCAACGATTCAAGTGACTCTGTTAAACTAGTTGATAATCCTAAAAAGGTCTATACAGGTCTATACCGAGGTTTACGTTAAATCGGGAGTCCGCTAAATCGAGATTTGACTGTATTCTAATTGCGAGCGTAATGATACTTACTTAGCACATGCTATTAAGTTTAGCTTCCCTTTTCTTCTCTTAAAGTTATATCTTGCGCTTTTTTTATTCTCCAGGATAGAATTTTTTTTCATTTTAATGTAGCGCGCATCCTTTCAGTTCAGCACTTACTTGCAGTTAGGTTGTTGGAAGTTCTCGTCATCTGTCCATCCCCTCTCGCATTGACAGGCATAGCCGAACCCGTTCCCCAAATCAGCACATGTTCCCTTCTCCCCACAGGGCTGGTCACCGCATGGATCCCCGTCTCCCTCGGAGTTTTCTGCCGATTGAGGTTTGCTGGATTCAGAAACGGTTGTGCATACAACCAGAAGTAGAGCTAAGATGACGTTGGAATAACTGGCTTGCATATTTTATGAGTAACTTATTTGCATACTTCAGAAGTAATTTGGATTCATTTTCAGCAGCAGTAATTTCCGGTTTTCATTTTTGTTTTCAGTTGCAAATTAGATCTTCTTATGCAATGGATTGATTCAGCGTCTCGTCAGCTCAGATAATTCCAATTCAGTTCAAGTCACTCTAATAGTTTTGAACTGTGCTTTAAAAATCTACTCGTTCACAATTACATATCGATCATTTATAGTAAATTTGTAGCTAAAAACTAGTGCATAAACTTGAAATAAGACAGATGTTTTACCATTACGTTATTCTGAGCACAGAGTTTTGCTGTTATCTTGCCCACTGTTCAAAACGGCGACTAGGGACTCGTACGCGTTAGCGCTACACTTATCTATATGTAACAATTGCGATTTTGAATGCTAGATTTTATATCCATGCACCGTATATCATTTGAAAACTTGATCGGTTTCTTTGTTTTTATTTAATTATGAAGTCAACTGTTGGTAATTATGCCTAATTTAATCGCGCACAAGTTTTAATCTAGTTTCTCTCATCACAAAACGGACAAAAAGCGACGCAAATCTAACAAAAAAATCCGTTTTTGTATTAACGTGGCCGAAACTTCAGTCGTACTTCCCAGATAGCCAGCTTCTCTTATTATTATTCACATTGCTCTTAAACTTCAACGCTTATTAAAACGACTTCTGCAACAGAGCTGAAGAGGAGCTTCGCACCACTTGCGATACAACCAAGACCTTCGTACTACTTAAGACCAATTAATTCGTTAAAAAAACTGATAAAGCAGCACTATAAAAAACAAGGATAGACGCTTACTGTGCATTCAGCACAGAATTTTCCAATGACCAATCATAAAAAATACAAAAAAAAATTTTTTTCGAATTTAAATGAAAAAACGAACAAACAAATCAGAAAAAATTTCAGAATGTTCGCGTTTTTTTGAGATTCATTCCCAAAATTTTACTGAAAAAAACTCCAAAAAGGAGTTAAACTAAATTTTCACAGCTTAAGCCCGCTTGCTCCTTTATTTGCTCAAAATTTGACTGAAACCCAAAAAATTCGAACCGTTTTTTCCCGACATTGAGAAAACTTTATACAATTTGATGTCGTTCAATTCACCACCAAAAGCGCTTTAATATGATGTATTACCAGACCAATTCCAATAATCATTTGTAGTACCTGATTTTGTGTGAAAAAAAACTGAAACACATCCGTTTCTCCCCCTTTGAAGTTCCTCCCTCTTTTCAGTGGTCAAAACAAGAAGTAACTCAGGCTCACTTTTTTAAAATTCTTTGCTTTCTTTTTAAAACTTCAAGTCGAATTTTTGATTCATCCTAATAGAAGTCTACAATTTTCTCTTTCTTATGCGAAGGAAATGGAAATAAAAGATAAACAAACTCAGTTGAAAAAATTGTCGGTTGAAGAAACAAAAAAACTCGTTTTTCAATTTGCAGAAATCAGTCATCTAAACCATAGGGAGGGTTCAAGCTAGGGTTCAACAAAGATCACAATGGAAGAACTAACCTGAAAAACGGAATTGAAAAGACTAACACAGGCGAAGTTGCACTTCGCGTACATAAGCAAAAACATGGCCGATAACGCTACTGGGAAAAACTGAAAGAGTAAAACTTTGAGGCTACAAAATTTATTAAGCAACGCACCCCAATTATGAGTCTACTTATTTGCAAAGTGACGCAAGCCAATTATGACGCATTAGCAGTATCAGTCAATTTGAAAAAAAAATTACCAACTAACATGCCTCAATTTATAGAACGGACGCATTTTAACAAGTATACGAAAACATTTATTTAAAACATCCGAAACTGACCAGGTTCGAATCCTCATATTTTGTTGCAGGTCTCATTCACTACCTCTACGCTACATATCCATGATACCTTGAAGCTAGAGCTGTTTGTAATATAAAAGTCTGGGTTAATATCCTTAGCATTGGCTGTACTTAATAGCTGGTTATTGATCTATATGAAAACTTTCAAAATGAACACATTTTGTCGCTACTATATTTGCTTCGCAACAATATATGCATCGCAACAATATTTGCGACTCAGGTTGGGAAAAAAGACAATTTATACTATAACACAAGTTTGGTTTGTGTAAACAAAAAACTTATTAGAGTCAAAAACTTTCAAACAATAAAAAAAGCCCAAGACCGACTAAAACTGTGAAAAGCTATGGAATCAACCCAATTAGATCAAAAATAGCGAGATCAACAAACTAATTAAATTACTGACACAGAGGCGAAGCAGATCTTCGCACCACTTGCAATGGAAAAAAATGTATGTCTAGAAAAAATTTAAAAATCAGATTGGAAAAATGTTGGAAAATATTTTCGAAAAGTTAACTAGAAACGAAATCAATTTGACTCCAACTGACGTTTTAAACTGGTCAGCTATGCCGAACAAACCCGATGAAACTATTCGTAAGTAGCACGCTGATGAAAAAAAAACATTGGTTGTTTTCAGACAAGACAACATGAATTTACCGAACAATTTCACATCATTTTGCAACAATCAAAACAAGTAAGATAAATAAAAAAACACACCTCACCTGAAAAATCTAAAACGTTTCTAGAAACGAAAAACTATCAAAAATGATATTTTTTAAAAACAATTACAAACAAATCAAAATCTTAATTATTCTTCTTGCTTAAAGCAGAAATCGCTGAAAAAAGCTCGAAACAAACAAAGATGTAGAAACAAGAAAGAGACGCTGCTAAAAACAAACAAAATAATTGAAGTTCTAAAGCCGAAAACAAACGCCAACTTTCCTTCCTGAAAAAAGAAACTCCGGTCTGACAAAAAATTTTAAAAATAGAAAGTTCAACAAACACCAAAATCGAAGAAACGCTAAATAAATAACACGCTACAAAAAGATAAAAAAGGAATATCATTGTGCTATTTTTAAAAATGAATGAGTCCGAAAACAAAACAGTATCTGGAAATAAACAAAAACTCAAGAGAACGTTTTTTTTTTAATCTACGAAAAACTATAAAAAATTAACTAGTTATTTCGTACCAATTTTAACACATTAAAACCACTTTTAATTAGATGAATACAGATAGTTATTTCTGATTTTATTGGACTTCAAGCTTGATAGGTTTTCCTTTTCAAATGAAATGGCTGTCTTTAAAAAAAGGATTAGAATCCTATCAGAAAAAACTTTTAAAATCAAATGTCGAAAAAAATGTGCAAAACTAATGAGCTATTTCATCAGCACCAAAAAGAATGCGATAAAAACCGATCAAACAACCAAAAACAACAACGCTTTTACGTTTTATTTTTATCAGTTTTTTAATTGTCTAGGTTGATTTAAATTTTTCTAAAATTTATATAGGAATGAATCACTATCGCATAAAACCAAAAAAAATTCGGAAATAACAGCGACGAAATTATAGCCGACCTCTTCCAGCGCCAAAATTTTTCCAAAAATTTTAGGCAGAATTAATACTGATTAAAAACTCATAATATGAACGCAAAGCCCAAACCTAATATGCAAATACTACACTATACATTAAACACGGTGTTAGTGAAATGATTACCATTGCCTCTATTCTGTGAACAAAAATCTTTATGCGAAAAATTCTAATACCAGATTCCAATACCCTTGCTTACCGCAAGGATAAACATGTATGCATATACATTAGACAAACAAAAAATATGTTGAAACATTCTGTGCTGGGTCGAGCTGCTGCGTTGATTTTATGGTAAAAAATTCTATATTTGTCGAGCTACTGCGTTGATTTTATTGAACCTCAACTTGAACCTTGAAAGAGTATTAAGAAGACAAAAAAGGAATGTCATTGAGCTATTATTAAAAAGGAATGGGTCTGAAAACAAAACAGTATCTGGAAATGAACACAAACTCAAGAGAACGTTTTTTTAATACAAAAAACTATAAAAATTAAAACTACTTTTAACTAGATGAATACAAAAAGTTATTTCTGATTTGATTGGACTTCAGGCTTGATAGGTCTTCCTTTTTCAAATGAAATGGCTCTCTTTAAAAAAAAGGGGGTTAGAATCCTATGAGAAAAAACTTCAAAAATCAAATTTCGAAAAAAAAATAGGCAAAACACTAATGAGCTATTTCATTTGCACCAAAAAGAATGCGATAAAAAATATGTTGATAATGGAGTCTATAAAGAGCTATCGGTTTGGCACACTTTTCTTAAATCATAAATTAAGACCAGAAAAATATAGTTAAACATGAAAATAAACTGGCTCTAAGTAGTACCGCAAAACAAAACTTTTTTTAAATATTGAATGTAATTGCACTGAGATTCATAGATGACATATTTAACAGATTGCTGATGTAGACACGACTGCAGTTTGATAGAAGATGAGACCTCAAAAACATCCAATAGTCTATAATAAGTCTGACTTAAACTGAACTCGTTTCATTCGCCCGGAAAAGAAACCCCAATGTATTTTGATGAGGCACCTACAAAGTTGAAATTTTCACCCTAGTTTGAACTATTCAAGTAAAATTGATTTAAACGAGAGCAAAACACTCACATTTGCATGGCGCCAAACTCATTAAAAACACACTTTTCAGTGCAATTCGGCGCCCTTCAAGGACTTCGAACTATCGGATGTTTCCACTGCCTCAAGTTACTTTCATATAAATATGGACATTTCGGGTCAGACATTCAACCTATTCAAGTCGCTAACCGGTTCTCCAAAAGTAACGTACTACTCTCATGTTTTAAGTATTACAAATTAACAAATTTTTGAAAAGGCTACACTTGCTCTAGCATTTGTTAGAAGAGTTTGAGAAAAAAATTGCCTTTAAATCCATTTAGTCAATTTTTTTTTACTATTCTGACTCGAATTGTACAGATTGATCGACTGCTACAAACCTTTATTGAAATATACGAAACACTTTTCATTGAGCCCTGCAGCTCGTGCCTTTTTCTTCAGATCTGGCTCCAACTTCTCGAAAGAGAGTGAGCTCTGCTGTGGAAAGAGGGCGCAACAAAGAGGCGTGGCAAAGACTAGAAACAACCCACAAAGAGCTACTTGAATGGGTGCTCCGATCCAAGGTCGTCTTTTGAGAATTGTTGTTTTCCTATCTAGTTGATCCATTACTATAGGGGCCAGTGCTAAAAATGACCTTAAATTATTTCACGCCCTCTACAAACTGTAATACAAAAGCGAAGCTAAACTTCAAAAACACAAGCGAGAAAACGACTTAAAATAGCTTCAAAAGGGTCAAATATGAAAACATGAAAGAAGTAAAACTAAAAACACTCTACTGCACACTGCGCTCCGATTGTGTAAAAAAGGACTTTGTAATATGACACTAAGTACCCTCCTTGTAGTTAGCTTTAAATTTCCAGAAGCACTTATGTCAATCCTAAGACTGTCAAACTAAATCATCGAAGTACGATACAGCGTGCAATTGGATTTCGGGTTATCTTTATCATTTAGCACTTTTACTAGGGAAAAATACGTTCGTAAACTCACTGAGTCCAGGAACTGCCATCAGGACTCTGGAGACAGTGACAATAGGGATGGCCTTTTTGGCAGCAGCCACTGAGTCTCCTACTCTCTCGCCAGAATCCGTGAATACTGGAATCCCGTCGTACAACTCCCTTCAGTCAATACAAAGAAAAAATCTAACATTGCTTCAAAAATTAGATGGCAGCGTGACGTGAACTAACTTTCGCAGTATCAATTTTTCTCTGAATTGTATAGATTTTCTCTGATTTCAGTAAGATAGCACACAGCGTTGCCAATAAACTGAACGCAGCCATATTAAATCTCCGAAAATTGAGGAGCAAAAATATTTGACTGACGCTTTCAACGCAGTATTTCAAACATCATGAAAAACACATGATTCAACGTCACGCATCAAGTTAAATCGAAGAAACCCTAACGAAAAAAAAATATATTTTTAAACTTTTTAGTACAATACCTGCTTCGCATCATGGGAATGTTGATGCAATTGGCCGATCCAACTGCTACGAATGGCACCAAGCGACCCACCAAGGGAGGCAGATTCTAAGCACAAGGAAAATTTTATCTTCATAGTGCTCCGACCATTGAAAATGGAAGGAACTTTGGATTCGGGTGTTTCAGTTCTTTTCTTCTTACCACGCAAAATCAGGTGCCGTAAATAATCATCGAAATGTGCCGAGTGATGTATCTATCATGTTAAAGTCCTTTTAGCCGTATCTCGAACGACATTATAAACTTCCTAAAAAACTCCCAGAGTTCAGAAAAAGCGGTTTGAAACTTTTAGAGGTACAATATAATTTCTAGTGAGCAAAGCGATAGAGTAACGTTAGTTATCTGAAAAACTTTAGGCTCAGAAAACTTGATTTTCGATGCAAAAATTTAGCTTAATTTAGCACAAACTAGGGGAAAAAATTTGTTTCTTATTCTTTTTTTTCGGACAAATGATTTCAATTATGCCTAATTAACTAACTTTCTATAGGTTTGTATAGCTTTCTCGTCAATCCGCGTACAAACAGTAACCGGCTATCATTGTTTGGAAATTGGTTCTTTACAATAATATCAACCGACCGAACATCAAACTTAAGATCAACAAAATACAAAAAAAGCTGCTTGTTAAGTAGGGGTGCCGGACATCAAGCCGACGGGACTTCAAGCCGAAAAATTGTCTCAATAAGTCTCGTAAAATTTTATGAAAGCGCCAATAACTACTCAAGAATGATCATGAAATTGAGAAGATCTTCAAAAAAGTTTTCAACTTGATCGTATTTTTTTAAACTTTTTTAAGGGTAATCAGAGGGTCAAAAGTATCAAAGTAACCTAGGTTACGGTCAGGAGCCTATCTTCTTTTATCATTATTACTACCATATCTAGAAAATTGCAAGGATTTTGACTGGAATACGTGATGAAGGGACTCCTGACTGTAACCTCGGTTACTATGATACTTTTGACCTTCTGATTACCTATAAAAAAGTCATGAAATATGATCAATTTGAAAACTTTTTTGAAGATCTTCTCAATTTCATGGTCTTTCTTCAGTAGTTATTGGCGCTTTCATAAAATTTTAGCCTCCAATTGATGTTTAGGAAAGTTGAAAAATAAAACACGATTTGAAGATATTTCTCTTGTTTATAACTTATGCATTTCAAAAACAAACTGATATTATTAACGGGTGCCAATCTGAAGTGATTAATTATCATGAATAACGCTTATTATGGACTAAACTTGCATAAATTTTTGAAAAGCAACGTTTTACAGATGAAAAATAGTGATTTGATGTTGTTGTAAAACTTCAACTTCGGCATGAAGTCCCTTCGGCTTGAAGTGCCGTCGGCTTGTTGTCCTAGACCCGTTATGTAGCTATGTGCTAGAAATGGAAAGCTAAAGAATTTTTTCAGTCACTATCTTGACTTTTGATTGCAAAATAAAATAACTATTTTGATTCCTTTCTTTGAAAAAGTACTTCAGTCTCGCACCTTCACTAGAGAGTTGAGTCCTAGAGCTGTACCCAGAGCACCTCCCGTAGCTCCAATATAGGAAAGACCAAGCTGTCTAAAACCGATCAGCTATCAATTCTTTAAAATTTGATACACTACATAGAACATACTCTTATTGAACAGACACTTACTTTTTGTCAATCGGCTTATCCCCACTTCTATTTGTGTAGTTCACGACTGCATTGAAACTTTGATTGACCCACTGCCAAAAAACAACAGCTGGCGTAGTTCTAAACAGACCAATATAGAAATATCATACTTTACATTTAGGGTAGCACAAAGGAATTTGAGAATCCTTGTTAAATAGTTGTACTCAGGAAATGCCGCCAAGTTGTTCTGACTAGTCTCGAGAGAGTTGAAAAAAGGAAGGAAGACGGAACTTTTTCGGGCTATGCAGGCTACCTCAAAGATAGCTTGGAGCATGCCAGATAAAGTGATAGTATCTTATTGGAGCTCTATCATCCGGATCCGAAAATTATTCGTTTTTCAGTGTTGAGCAAAAATAAGCTGAGCAGTTTAGCTTCCCGATTATTTTACAGCGGTGGATAAAACTACGTTCATCTCTGATCACTCTAAGCTTAAGTTTGCCAATTTTTCTATAATGTTCCACCTATTTCAAGTTTTAACGATCGGTTGTCATCCATGTGCCACAAAAATTGATAAAATAATCAAACGATTAAAAATGATAGGTAGGGGCAACACAATTTGTGCAACTAGTTACTCTTGATTAACTCAAACTAACTACTAGAATCCAAACTTGTAAAAAGTGAGCATGAGTCCCCCGATCGTCATGTTCATTGGCACCTGAGCAGACATGCGCCCAATCAGCATCATTTTCTCCCCAGTATCAGGATGAAAAGCAGAATCATAGATGTATTTCTGTCGCCAGAGTTCTTTTGAAGTGATCCCTGGGAACTTCTCTCCTTTCCTAAATTGAGAGCTGAGTTTTCACGTGCTACCTCAAACAAGTGTCACTTGTCAACCTGATACACTTACTGGTGCTTCAGAACAATTTCCCGAGCCCTCTCAAGCTCTTCAGATGACTTCAAAAGATTAAGTGGGTTTGTGACAACAAAAAAGTGCTTCGCTCTTCCAACAAATGTATCCTGACTCCATTGTGGCTTTGTCAGATCAATGTTTGAAACATCAGAGGAAATTGTCATCTTGCTGTCTGAAAACTGCAATCATGGTCACAAGAGAGTTCGACACGGGGCGAAGCTAAGCCTCGGGCCACTTGCGATACAAAAACAAACATAGCATGACTTCTATAGGTTTACATAGGTGTATTTATTCATTAGCTATATAAATTGAGAAGAATGATGTATTTGTGTCACTTGAATACCACAGCACGCGAGGAACAATGATCGACATGTTCAAAATAGGTTACAACCGTTATGACCCAAAAGCTACAAAAGTCATTGTCGAATTGAATAATCGTGACACAAGGACAAACGACAAGAAAATGATAACGAAGAAGGCCAGCCTCGAATTGCGGAAAACCTTTTTTTACCATTAGATCAGCTACAGATCGGAATATGTTGCCAGGAGAAGTAATTGACTCGAAGACCTTGAACGCTTTCAAGAACAACCTGGACAAATACTGGAAGACAAGCGGAATTGATAAATTTGAGACGAATTAATCGAAAAAGAGTACACCATGAGCTGATCGAGAGAGGCGACAAAAACGCCTAAGAGATCAGAAAACAACTGAACTAAACTGAATGTTATTCTTGTTTTTGAGGATTCACAAAAATGCTGAAGGTTTGATTATTCCCTTTCGTTTATCATTGTTATTTTAGGCTGAAGTCGGGTTATGCTCTTCCGTCTCGAGGCCTAGAAGCTTCGAGGTGTCCACGGGCCGAAGCCACATTGGTAAGCACGGAGGAATTTTGGAGACAGTTCAAAACTGGCAAGTACTGTGGGGCGCAACAGGTTGGGCATAGAGAGAAAAGGGAGCCGTCTAGTTGGGAAATGTAAGTGTTTAAAAGATGGCTGTAGCCGAACCGGAGTTTACAGCATACAGCTGGATTCTTTCTAGAGAAGGCTTATTCTTAGGGGTCAACTTATCGCGGAAGGATACAAATAACCTTAGAGTGTAGGTCTTCGGCAAGGAACTTGGTTACTTGCTTTGTATGGCTGGGTTTCATAAAGTTTTACAAAAATTTAAAATACAAGAGTAGACTTCTTCTCGGATTTAAACATACAGTGGGTGCGGTGGGGTGGAGGAGGTATTTCCATTGATGAGTAAGTGAAAAGAAGTCAATGATTTCTTCATTAAGCGGTTTCAAATTGATATGCGTATTAGGCAATGGTGAAGGAACTCAGTGAGTGTGGAAAAAAACTGTTAGGGATGGGATCGGTAAAAGATATAAAAATAAAATTCAGAAAGAGTGTGATGGTTTGTGATATTTAAATTTTCAACGTCGCTGTGCAGGTGAGCAGTGGAACTCATGAGGTATAAGATGTAAAAAATAAAATTCAGAAACTCAAAGAGTGGTGGTTTGTGATATTTAAATTTTCAACGTCGCTGTGCAGGTGGGCAGTGGAACTCATGAGGGTGGAACAATTATTAGTTCGGAGGGCTTGGTTTTGAGTAAACTGCAGGGTAAAATGAGGTGTTACTGACAGGGTGGTACCATGCAGGGGAGGCGTAATCTACCATGAAACGACTTGCTAGCGTCTAAACACAGCTTCACGTGCTTTTAACAGTCATAATATCCATCGGAGAAGGATTAACCCTTCTCCTCAACTCCTAGCTTATCATACTGTAAAAATGAACTTGAAGTTAATTTCGTTCATTTCAGGACACTCGAGGAAGCTGAAAACTTTTGAAAAAAAAAATGTTTACAGTCCGTCTCCGGTACCCCGCCCCCTCCCCCGGATTCTTGAATCCTGGCAAAGAGCTGTCTTCTTCACAACCAGGAAGAGTAGCAAACTCACCCATTATCCCTCCTGATTCCGAGGAATTGCTGCTCAACGAATGTAGCTGCACAATCGTTACAACTCAGAGCGCTCTTCTTTATATAATGATGACTGTTATTCTCTCGACTGCTATCTCTACCACACGTCTTATTCTAATTAGCGAAAACCTCCAATAAAAGTGATTCAAAAAAATTCGTTTTTGACACGTTTTTTCAGGTCTTTCTGATCGAATGCCACACCCAAGATTCAAGCAGCTAAGGCTTCCAGGACTCATATTCTGCGCCAGGACTTGTCGGCGGAATATTTGCATTAATTGGCAAAGCAAAGAGTAGAGTCAAAAGTAACAACTAAGAGTTTAGCTCAGTTTCCAAAACTTGATGATTTGGCTTTTCGAAACTTTTAATTACTAGGTAAAGAAATGATAAAGGCCTGTATAGTGTTGACAGTTTTAAGTCTTCATCTGGTATAGGTAAGGGTTGTGTTTCCGAGTTTTTTCCAAATTTGAAAAAACAATGGGCTCAGAGAGTAACGAATTATAAAAAAAATTAAAAGAGGTGAAGCTGCGATTCGCAAACACTAGCGAGAACACAAAAAAGCAGCTTAGAAATTTAAAATATGGCTCGTATTTATAAAACTTTGCTACGCACCAGATTCGAAGCTGCAACCTCGCGATTAGGAATCTCCCGTCCTGCCCTCTCGCGTGAAAACAAGCTCGTTTTATCTATAGTTTTTGAAATGCATAATTTAGACATTATGTGGTTTTCCAATCTATTACATGCAAAATTATGTTGGATGCCTTCAGTTTGTTATATTTCAAATTACTACTTGCAAAATTGTGTCATTTTGTGTTTGGTGCCACTTTTGCTGCGTGTCATTGGCAATTTGTTAGCATATGTAGCTGCTTTATTTGTGACTAGTGTTTGCCGGTTGTTAAGTGTTCTTGGCCGAGAGGATAAGGCGTGAGACTCCAATTCTCGAGGTCGCAGGTTCTAAGTTTTAACTACTTCGATGCTTATTTTTTCATTTTAGCTTATAAGCTGCATTTTTGTCGTGTTTTCGCTAGTGTTTGTGAAGCGCAGCTTCGCCTTTGTGTTAAAAAGTTGTTGTCTTTGTTTCCGCTCCTATATTTTTTTCCATTGTAATTTTAAATTCAAATGTCTGGCGTGGTTTCCTGGAATTACTGTTTGATAGAAACATGTTTAAAGGAGAGGAATGGAATTGAGTTTATTTTTACGCGAGAGGAATTGAGTTTTTTTCATTCGTCCTGTTTGTAATCTTTCGCAGATCTGGCAACAGAAGATAGCTGTTCTTTATATTTAGTGTCTCTGCAAACTAAGTTTCAGATGAACCAACGCAACCAAAAAATTCTCTAAAGCATATGGTAGATTCAAGTCGAGGAATTGACAGCGGAATTTACATCATATCTTCAACGGGACTGTGCCAGACATGTAATCAGCGCTAAGATAAATGGTACGTTTTTGTGAAGCGATAACACTTCGCGAGCGCGAATCCAAAATGCACTTCGAGAGTGCTCGGAGACGTGCTCGTTTTACCATCAGCGACTTTAGACCTACCCAGAGGCGAAGCGGAGCTCGGCTAAACTTGCAATATTAAACATTTTTAAAAAATGAAAAATCAAAACAGATTTTAGTACAAAATTTTCTGAAATTTTGACGCGAACGATGATCAATTTGAGGAGAGCACAGGACTCTTAGCCGTTAGCTAGTTTTCGTCAGCAGTAAAAAAAATAAAACCGCAATAACAACAAATCTGTGTTAAAGAGATGTAACAACAGGAAACAAATCATCAAGGATGCTCCAAGGGTTTCACCACTCGCTTCTTCTCTCGAAACGATTAGTATTTTACGGAAAGGTGAAAGGAGAGTCGACATTTCCAATTTGAAGCCTTGGAACCATCTCAAGCCGACAGCAAGAAACTATATTTGCAAACTCAGCTTGCCAAAAATAGCTAGCACATTTCGAGCTGCAAATGAGGCCCATTGTACGAAGTAAAATCTTATTTTAAACTCCTCAGCAGTGTATCTATCACTTCAGTAGCAGTTTAGAAGACAGGAGACGTTGGTGATAACAATAATTTTTTCCAAGAAAATAGCAGGGGTCAACAGAGTAACAGGCAAGAATGTTACTTTGAATTTTTCACACAACGGATACCCTAGGATGTCCAGCGAGAGAAAGCTGCATGAGTCCTGGATGCTGACTGTTTTTGCGGTGCTTTTTTGTTTCTTTTTAATCTCGCGATTAATGTCTTCTTCAATATCTGATTAATTCAAAATTGATTTGAGAAAATATTGGAAAGAAAGATGTTTAAGAGCCATTTTTGCATTTTGTATTCTGTCTTTTTTCCTGTTATCCATTTAACAGTCTCCTGGAATTTTTCCATCATTTGCATTTCCTTTAGGATTTATGTTACACAAGTATAATCATTCAACACAATAGGAAGCATCAAGAACTTATAAAGACCCCGCTCTAGGATTGTCCAGACTTTCACTGAGACATTCCACTGAAGGAGATGCAAAACTTGCTTCGCTTCACTCATCTTCTCTTCAATGTGAAAGCTGGAAGTCAGATCTTAGGAACTAAAAAAATACCTAGGTCTTTCACTGTTTTAAAACCGTCAAGAGTTTCCATCGATCATTTGAAGTCTTTCATTGTTCTCAAATTTTAAGTAAAAATTTATCAAATCTTTTTGTTATTTGATTAGTTCATATTTCCTTGCTCAAGGCTCTCGAATTCATCACTTCCAACGGCTTGCATCTCGGCCTCAAAGTCAAGCACAGTAAGTGTGAGTTGTGGGCTCCTGTGGAGTTCTCGTCCATCCCCGTTTCTATCCCGAGAGCAGCGTCTAATGGCTTCGAGCTTCTTGGCGCCCCCATTGGTGATACTGAGTTCTCAGTTAAAGTCCTGGACAAACGCATCTCGAAAGCCACCAAATGTCTTGAAAAGTTACCTCTTCTTGATGACCCCCAGCTCTCACTTGGCATCACTCGCAATTGCCTTGCTGCTACCAAGCTGACGTACTCTCTTCGCACTCAGCCGCCCTCTCAGCCTGTCGCAGCTTCACTGCAAGTTTTTGGTGAACTCCTCCGCGATGCTCTTTCTGTCATAGTTGGCTCACCTGTTCCTGATCTTGCCTGGTCCCAGTCTTCCCTGCCTATCAAAGATGGCGGACTTGGCGTCCGGCAAGCTCGCGACCAACACATCCCTGCCTTCCTAGGGTCTTCGTGTCAGTCAG